ATTTTCTTTGAGTGCAAGGTACATTTGTTGAAAAAGATTGTTGTATCAAATTTGCTATAAATTGTGGCGGTTGTGATGACTACAAAGTTAAAACGCAAAAGCGTGATACTCAAACGGACTTTCCGTTGATTCAGTATACTGTCAAACATGAATTATTCAAATTTCTTAGTCCAATATCAAATGTTGAGCTTCTTCTAGAAAATCACGTCATTATAGGAACAAATCAACAATGGCTAAAAGCTATTTGTCATGAATCTCATAATTGATCTCGACAGCGAAGTCCTCATTCTTGGAAACGACATATATATCTTGACATATATGTCGAGATAATAGACAACAACATTGTCTAAAAATTCTCAAAATATGTGATTTATCAAGTGTTGAAAAATGTAGGTTGCGTTGGTAACATCAAAAATCATGACATTGGATTCAAAGTATTCATATCTAATTCCAAACATAGTCTTTTATTTTTCATCTTACTTGATATGTATTATGTTGTACGCTCCACAAAAATAAATATTGGTGTGAAATTTTGCTTGATCAAGTTGGTCAAAATTTTTGAAATTAATGCCAATTGATACAAGTTTTTAATTGTGATCTTATCAAGTCCACAATAATCTAGGCAAATCCAAAAACAACTGTCTTTCTTCTTGAAATATAAAATTAGAGCTCCAGGCAAATACAAAGACAACCTTCTTTCTTCTTGAAAAATAAAATTAGAGCTCCAACATGTATGTGACTTGGAATGTTGAATGAAATTTGACTTGCAAGATTTATTATAAATGTAATCTTGATTATGCTAGCATCTTAAGCATAATCTACCATGTTAGATTGCGTGTGCTAGATTATGCTTTTATCTACTTCAAGCAAAATATTAAAAGAATAGAAAGTTTCAGAGTATAAGATAGCACTTGATGACATGGCAACACTTGTCAGCCACATGATACTTAATGTGTCTCGCTGTTGTAGTATTCCAATTCAAATTTCTTGTATCTTGGCTCTAAAGTGCTTGAGTTGTACTGGAATTTGTGCAATCTTGATACCTTAGGTTTCAAGTTGCAGTTGTTTAAGCCGTGATACTTTATTTCACAATAAAAACACAAAAGTTTCCTACGGCATGGTTCATTCTCTTGATGTGTTGTTGCCATGAAGAAGAGACTATGTTTATCATATTTTGTATTTTTTTCTGTCAAAAAGATTTAAAGTATTGGATTTATTATTTCAATCTTAATCAAAAATATATTTTTTATCTCCATAAGTTTATTTTGATTTAATTTAAAACTTGGAAATCTTAAAAGAGTTATAATATGAAAAGTGTATTAAATTATTTAAATTTTCTTAATCTTCTTTTGAAATAAAATGAACACGTAACTCTATTGAAATATATAAAATTTTACAATAAAAATATTTATTTCAATATTTGATCTCATAAATTTCCCAGTTATTTTCAACTCAGCTTCAAAACTACATATCAAGTTTTATCATCAAATTTTATATATATATTCAAATAAACTCAACTTTTATATATGATGCAATTTACGTTTTTTTCACAATATAAATTCAAAATATCTAATTTAAGTCTTGATCTCATAAGCTATTCCAAATAATAATTCATGCATTTATTGAAGAAATATTTTTAATTCGTAAATATTGTTTTAAATAATATGAAAGGCATTTATTCATATATGGGATTATCAAATCTAATACATTTAAAAAAAATCCATATACCAAGATAGGAAAATCTTAGTATCTAGTTACTAATGTGTGAAAATCAACATGATTGCAAATACATCAAAGAAGTTAAAGTGTATGATTACTTGAAATCAAATTATACGTAATAACACAAGTACTAAGTACTTATTTATGAGAAAGTCGAGTTATACGTCATTTTATGCTAATTATATCTCATCCTACTATACTCTACAGAGAGAGGTTTGTGATTGAGTGGGTGCTACATCTATAATAGAAACTTCTTTGTGAATTAGCAGAGAAGTACTAGGATTAGAAACAGCAGTAGCAGAACTAGCATAAGCATGAACTTGAACTCCATATAATTCTGTATTGCAGGATCTAAAATTATGTTCCAATTGCTCGCAACGATCACACCGGTGTTATTGTCGTTGTCAACTTCCGGTGTGCTTAAACTCGGAAGGTAGCCTGCATGTTAAATCGGTCGATTGGCCGCGCGTTGGTGCACCTGCAGTCTCTCATATCTCAAGCCCAGTTACTACTTTGACATGATCAAGCATCACGCGCTAGTAGTGTGGAGTTGTGTGCGCATGTTCATCAACTATCAACCGCATCGCAACATCCACAATTGACGTTGCCTCAATTCATGGAACACAAACAGACATCATCAATCACCCGTGTTGATCAAACTCGACCACCGACAAAGTCAATGTACGATCTTGGATAGCGTGCTTACGGATAATGCCCATTGTTGTTGAAAAAATGTGTTGATATTCATGTTGCTCAGTTGGTGATAGACTGATCATTTTGTATTATTTGTACGCTTTTTTCAATACTTCTACTAAAATTTGCCAAAAACCTCGCAAAACATAGTTCCAAGTTGCATCTTCGCTAAAACGCGCTCTTTTGTTTTTTTTTGGATAATTATAGCAAGTTGGTTGTTGCACGCAAGTTGTAACGTATTATCAAATGACAAAAGATGACTTGCGAAGTAACTCAAACAATTTTTTCAGCACAACATGCGCACTCTCCATGTGCAAGGTGGAGGAATGTCTGTATTGCTTCTCACCGCGCAGAAACACAGCGACAAACCTGTAAAAATGAGTCAAACAGAGTAATTAGTACAAAAATTGCGTCAAAACGGTGAATACTGCATCAACACCTACTTTTTCTTCCAAAGAAATCAAGTATCTTTAATGTAATCTATGATAACTACCAGAAGTTGTCGTGCATAGCAGCAAGTTGTGCGTCATAGGCTTTGATGATCGAATTGACTAGCACATTCAAAGCATCTAAAAATTGCTGTCAATCTTCTTCAATCCCAAAGTTACTTTTCTGTTTTGCAAGTTTGTTTTTGCTTATATGCCTACGGCATAACAGCATATTCGCATCTGGAAACATCGCGTCCAATGCTTTTTATTAACCCAAGTTTTTTATTCGTGACGAAAGTTGCTTAGAAAACATCAAAATTGTTGAAAACTGTTTTAATCTTGTTGAGCGCCCACATGTAGTCTTCCTCCTTCTCCCGCCGCAGAAAGTAGTAGTCAAAGGTAAGGGTGCTGGAGGTAGCGGTCATAGAAATAATGTGGTGCAATGGAACATCATGCTTGTTGGTTTTGTAGGTTGCATCAAGTAAAAAAGACGTGACCGACAGCATACTTATTGCAAATCACCTTTGCCAATGGCGATTTGATCAGCAAGTGCATTAGTTTCTTCTCATCATCCACTTGGATGAAATACTGCGTGCTTCCAATAGCGGCCAAATTGTCAAGCAATGCAAATAGCGGAGACCGGCCTGCAAGTAGTCTAAGACACTACTTTTGTCCTAAGTTCCAGATGTCTTTTGACGTTGCAAATATACTTTCATTTTGCCGTAGTAGCGTAACAATTTTGAAGGCTATAACACCAGCATGACTAAGAGTAAGCGTTGTCTCTCGTTGTTCTTGCGGATGGGCTGTAGGATGAGCGAGAGCATCGTGGTTATGTTGGGCGGATTGTACTTGTATCTCTCATACAAGTTGGGCTTGTACTTCTTCTTTGCCGATTACTATGTTGTTGATCTTTGCTTTAAATTCACAGCAAGTGCTACGGTTGGGTGTGTTGCGCCGGAGAGTATCTTCATGGACAACTGGTTTGTACCAATGGAAATACACAAGATTGAGTCCCTTGATAGCTCCATCTTTCTTGAACCAACACTAGATCTGCGCTTAATCACGACGGCGTAGCCTGACTCAACGCGTAACCTTGCATAGTCGATAGCGTAGCGTCCTTTGTTGTGTGGGAGACCTTTTACGATGAAGCCAGCTAGAACCATGAGTTTGCATCAATGGTTGTATCATGGGTGTGAGCTGAGTTGCGTATTGAACTTCATCGCGCATTATAACACCTCCCCGCCCTTCGTTTCATTTTAGCGCAGAAGTAGATTTCACATTCAAACTAAATTCGGTTTCAATTTTGGTCGGACATTCAATATGGTCGTGCTCTCTATGTGCAAACCAGTCACTCTAACCCTACCCCACACTGAACCAAATGGATTCCTCCTCGTCTCCATGCTCCAATGCTCCGCACTAATTCCGATTCTACTCTTTTCCCCTTGCCCTGCCAAAACTGTATCCCCGTGCAGTCTCGTTGCCATATGTTTCCACGCTGCGCACTATTTTTTATTCTCCCCCTTTCCCTCGCCCCGCAAAGATTATCTGTCTATCCCTGCATGGTATGGAAAGCATTTTGTTTCCGTTTGACCAATCACATAACTTTATTACATATAAATGTTAGGTCAAAGATAATTAAAATAAACTAAGGGATAACAAGCCGCTCCATTTTCATCCTTATTAAGAAAGTGAAAAAAAATTATTTGAATCAATATGAATGAGATACATTGAATTTGTTGCATGATTTGTAGAGATGACTATAATGATGATTAGAAACTACACTCTAACAGCCAATTGTACTATGAAAAAAATTTTCCCCTTTCTATTTTGTCCATGACATGAATAAAAATTGGGCGGTCTTTGTATGTCTCTCATAGGATAAATTACAAGAAGCAGCTCGTAATTTATCCTTTGCACCACGAGTGTAGAATGTAGCCTTCAAGACTTGCATCGAAAGCTTGCATACCCACACACCTTTCGCAACATACACTTTGAACATACATATCAGACTGCTAATTTACGCATAGCTACGATTTGTAAGTTTTTCGCCATATTGAGAACACTCAGCTGTAGTAGGATATATGTTAACCTTCAATAATACCGACCTGTTGTCTCCTTCTGATGGAGTTTGAATTTTAAAAAAGAAATTGTACACAATGCGAATTCTAGTGTATTTATCACTATAGTACGCAATATTTTCGTTCTCCTCGCCTTCCTGAGTTTCCAGTCGTCATCGTTTGGCACCATCCGAATGACCACTTCCCTAGACATACTACTGTTTTCCTTCCTTCATCTTTAGACTAGCTGTGTGCTAAGTTATGGACTTTCCACGCTCAGACGACAAGCAAATTTTCTTTGAATTGGTTTTAGTTCCCAAGCACAACTTCTATCCGAATCGCCCGGTGCCCGTGTCGATGCAAATTTCACTACTATCCATGAGATATGTCCTATCCAAAAGAAATTGCAAACATATTTTCATTTCTCAGATGTAGATGGCACAAAGGTGATCGCGAACAATGGGGCATTGCGGTCATAGCTGATATCTCGTTTCCGATGCTGAATGACTTAGTGCTTTGTTGGACAATGGGTAGCCGAGGCAGCTGTAGCTGTGATTCTTACCCACAATGGAGAAGAGGAACCCCCAGGGTATGACGCCTACATGACGTCTGACGCATCTATGAATGGTTGGAAGAAAATTCGAGAATTGAGGTGAAACACCTTATAAAACACCCTTCAAATTGGTTATCACCCTCCTACTTCGTCCTATTTGAAGAAGTTCGGCTACAGCAGTATACATGTCCCACCATTTGAATGGTCTTCATCGGAAAGCTCTACAGCAGGAATGTCGTAATACTTGGGGTCGCCGCAGACATGCCAAACTTTACAGGTTGGCCACATCAAAACAGTATACATGTCCCACCATTTCGAAAGCCCTTGATCGGAAAGCTCTACAGCAGGAACGTCATAGTAATTGAGGCCGCAAACAAGCCGAACTTTACAAGTTCCTCTTCACATAACTACATATACAGGCCCTCCGGAACACCTTCCTTCTTCTTATACATGACCTTCTCCTTGGCCTTCTTAAAATCGACTTGGGTAACCTGCAAAGAGCAGCAAACGGGGTCGCAATAATAGTCAGCCAAATGGATGCACCCATACTTCAAAACAAAGAGTCCTTGCACCTTCTTTAACAACACGGTAAAGACACACAGGTCCACAACTTGCAAATAAAAAAGTTCAAAATGTGCGGCACTACCTTCATCCTGCGCTCTCTCAATGCTAACAAACCGGCTTCAGTGCATATAGCTTTAATGTCTGCTCCTGAAAATTCGTCCTTCGTCATAACAAACTCTTCTAGATTGACGTCGTCCGACAACGTCATCCTAGAGGTATGAATCTGAGGTCACAGGGAAAATAATAAGTACGACTTACGTAAATACGAGGTGCGAGAAAATGAAGGTGATGCAAGTATGTACACAATCAATGGGTGAAGCTCATAGAATTTGCAAATTAATCAAAACTTAAGACAGCCCTTTCCAGATAGACTGCAGAAGTCCGCTATGTGCATACATCGTGAGACCCTATCCTTATATGATGCACTTGTTCTGCCATATAATTTTCAGAAATAAGGATCAAGCGCATACCTGGAAAATTCTTCTCCTTGTCTTGATGTCAGGCAGAGGAAATTCAATCTTACGATCGATTCTTCCAGGTCGGAGAAGTGCGGGGTCTAAACTCTCGATTCTGTTAGTAGCTAAAATTACTTTGACGTCACCCCGGGCATCGAATCCGTCAAGCTGATTAAGTAACTCCAACATAGTTCTTTGAATCTCACGCTCACCACCGGAATGTGCATCGTATCTGGAAAACACTAGATCAATTAGGCACTGGTTTGCTCTGAGAGAAATTACGAAATCTCGTTCATTAGTGTAAACAGAAGGCTCACAAACTAGTCATGGCTGACTAAGAGATCCAGCGGACATGCGGTAAGACTAACACGGACTAACTGTAGGATACTCAGAAATACAAGAGGGAAGTCCGTGACACTACATGACAGAGCTGAAAGCTAAGAACACCAAGTTACCAGAGAATATTAGGAGCACAAACCATCACTTCTTTAGTGCATCTGGAAATGTATCTATAGTTGCTCGCAGATCTTTCAAGTCAATAAGAAGCAACTCATGGCGTGAAACTCATGTTCCCCAACATGAAGTTCATGAGTGATGAGTGGTCGCCAAATAGGCTATTGCATGGTAAGCTTTCCAGATCTGGAAAGATCTGGAAAGATACACAACAAAAGTCAAAGGTTTCGCTCCTGATTTGAAACATAAGTCTCCTCAACAGAAGCATTTATACAGGACTAAGAAAGCAGCAGCTTGCAGCTTACCTTTTGGTACCCACTGCGTCAATTTCGTCAATAAACACAATAGATGGAGACAGTTCGTCAGCCACTCTGAATAGCTCTCTAACAAGTTTAGGTCCATCTCCCAAATATTTCTGGATAAGTTCACTTCCTACAACACGTAAAAATGTTGCAGATGTAGAGTTTGCGACTGCCTGCGAAGTAATCATTACAAATGTTAGAGCGCAGGCACTTGACGGGCAAATAGACTTCAAAGACCGCACAAGAGGTTAACTGGTGATTTATAGCAAGAATCACCTTGGCCAAAAGAGTTTTCCCGGTACCGGGTTCACCATATAAGATGACTCCCTTTGGCGGCTTAATACCAATATCCTCGTACAGCTCTGGGTGCGTCAAAGGAAGCTCCACGGCCTCTTTGATTTCCTGAATTTGAGGATCTAGACCTCCAATATCTGCGTACGACTCAAGAGGTGCCTTCTCCACTTTCATAACTGACACCATCGGATCGACTTCATCCTGCAAGATTCCAACGACTGAAAGTACCTGCAACGCCACGAAAAATATCATCATTTCAGAGACCCCGAGCAACACAACTTCGACTCCGTCTAGAGATGTTCTAAAGTTATCAGCAAATAAATTTTCAGGAGATCTTCAGAACTTCAGTGGGCTCTGAAGCCACAACCAAAGGCGTCCTGTTCTCTCAAGATAGAATCGTCGTGCAGTTCTCTTTCTTACCACTTCTCGTTACACCAACCGGCAAGTGTTATCTGTTCTGACAAGGAATAAGGAAGCAAAAAGTCCTAGAAAGTTACGGCAATTTCCAATAAGAGCACCTACACACGCGGGAGTCCTCACACGCTTTATCAGATAATATATCTGAAAGTCAGAACGTCCATGAGTTTTCAGCATTCCCTTTTATTTTCTGTCGACAAACTCAGCCGTACGAAGGTGAGGTTGTAGGCAGTACTCGCAAGATGCATTTGGGCGTTTGAAATGCACAAAGCAACAGAATGGCTAATGGGGATGTATGGGAATAGTTTTCGATGAGAATGGCTAATGGCTAATGGGACTCCTACTGGGAATATTCCAGAATCAGCATTCTGATTCCATAAAGTCAAAATCTCGGCGCTCTGAGTGCCCAATGAAAAATGGGGAAAAAGATTCGATTTGGCTTCATTTAACAGAGCTCAGTATATGTCAATTTTGAAACTTTTGAAGCTTTGAACTTTGACTCTCCAAGTTTTTATAGCTAGACAAAAGCTCACAACAACGATGGGTTCTACTTCTGCATTGTCGTTTCTGCTCTGATGCTCGGGACGTACTGAAAGGCTTCAATTTGGAGTAGGCCATGCAATTTGAGGTGTATACACGGCCTTGACTACACGGTCACAATGGAATGACCTTCGGCGAGACGTGTAACCTAAACTACGCGAAGAGCACCAGTTCGTAAAATTTGACCTTGCTCTTTGCACCACAAGAGTACATCAGTTCAGGTTCGCTCTTTAAAAAATTCCTGTACAAAAATTCCTAGAATTCCCAAAATCTTACAGCTCATGTTGTAAGTGATATGAAAGCGAGGTCAAAATCCATGAAAGGATAAGCGGTTCGAGGCTGTCGAAAAGCTTGATGCAAAAACAACACAAGGATTTTGAGTCTATCAAAAGATAGGAGAAGACTCAAAACACTATGTCGAGCTAAACTTATACATCTGAAATACGAAACGTTAGAGTGTCGACGAAAGTTTGGTCCTAAACATGAAAGTCCTCATTCTCATTATGTACGCATAATAAAGCCAGGAGAACCGAAGAGTGCACACGGAGGCTACGGAACAGGACCAGCAGTTCATCGCTCCGTAACGGCAACCACAATTTCAGCGACTGGAATTCACAAATAATTTACACAAGAATTCACATATAAAGGACTCGTTTCCAAAACCCTAACACTCGTCAGATTCAAAATGACAAACTCGGGTTTCATCGCAAATACACACCTTGTTGTGCATAAGAATGGCACAGCCAGGCTCCAGCTGATCTTTATCCACGAAGGAGAGGATGTTCACGTAGTACTCAGGGCCCACAGAGGAAGAAACGATGGCGTGATTCTCGTCAATTATCTCCTCCAACGTACCAACGCTCATGGGAGAACCTCGCAGATCATCGACCTTCGAACGATCTTCCTCATTCTTATCCTCCTGAGGCTTCAAACGTTCTTGGTTGGTCACAAATTCCTCTTCCATCAACAGATAATCCTTCACCCTCTCAAGTTTCAGCAATCGGAGCTTACACTTGGTCGCCGGAGTGACCACCGGCAATCGCGCTGCAGCTTCCGGGCCTTTCTGCTTCCTCTGCTTCCGTCCGACCCTCGTCGGGGGAGCAGCCGGCTCATACTTCTTCTCCTTTTTCTCTTCGGCCTTCTTGTCCCCTGGAGGCCCCGGCCTCGGCAACCCTCCTGACTGCCCCTGCCCCATATTACCTCCCTACTCCTTTCTATATCGCCAAATCTGCGTCTGCGTCTGCGTCTCCCTGCGCGCTAGAATCGAGTAATTCCTGCCAATCCCCGCACACGATCCCCGCTGTTTCTACGCGTCCGAGTTCCAAACCATCCAGCAAAGTGCGCACTCTCCGCCCGATCGGCAACGAGGGAATCCTCCGATCACACCGTGGCTCCCACTGCTCGGCCTCGACCTCGACCTCGATGGAATGAGGAACCTCAAGTCAGTGAGTCCCTCGGGCGCGACTGAGACATTGGCACATTCTTGACCTAGACGTCTTCTTCATCCGCGAGCACGAGGGTTCCTGTCAATTCGATTTTCCCTCTGGACTCCGATCGTCGACGAGCACCGGCGTCCTCCGGTGAGAACGCCACCCGACGGGCGGTCGCCCGTGGCCCCACCTGCGCCGAACCCACGTCGAACAGCGGGCTCATTCCGGATACCGGATACCGCATTTGCTTACTTCTGCACAATGGACATCCGACATTTCGTTGCTGTGACGTGCGGCCATTGCAGAAACGCTCGAGAAGAAAAATGCGCACGAAATTCGGCTCCCCGTTCGGATAATTGCTCCTCCTGCTCATTGAGAAGCTGATCTTTACTGATTGACGAGAGAATTAATCTTCTTCTGCGGTGCCATATATTTTCTTCCTCCTTAGCCCACTTTTACAACTTGAAATTGGTCTCTCCGTTAAATTATTTATTTAGTTAGTTATATATTTACTGAAAGAGGATCTCAAAGGAATCATATACTTACATATTTTCCTCCTTAGCCCACTTTTACAAACTGAAAGATGGTCTCTTTGTAGATTTATTTATTTATTGAAGAAGGATCTCAAAAGAATCATATAATTAGATATTTGAAAGCAAAAGGGTGATCATTGCAAGTCATGTTTCAACAAAGACGATTATATTTAAATACATGTTTCAAGTTGCGATTGTAAAATAGTTTCAAAAAAGTCATTGGAGCGTACGAACTCCATTGGGAGCAGGGGTTCGTCACCTAACCCCAACGGTGATTGTTTAAGAATTAATCCTTGATTTGGGAAGTTTTCCCAGAGTCCTCTTCAGTGAACGGCCAAATGTAATTAAGCTTTCTGTGAACCCTTCACAAGTCTGAAATTATTCATTTCACTCCTGTACAGAGTTGGTTTCAGAGTGGGAAATATTCCTCAAGCACTTATTCTTTTACTTTTGGAGTGGTTTATGGACTCGGTTAACCCCTGTATCTACTGCACGAAATATTGGTTTCTAACGTGGAAAGGGACGTAAATCTACCTGAACTTCTCACCCCAAGAAAAAGTATCATATACACTTGGTGGTATAAGATGTTTGGTGACTACCAAATAATTAAGGGACTCGTATTCATTAAACTTCATTGACAATACGTTCCAAGTACAAAATTGAGATTGTTGACTAATTAACTTGGACAGCAGCAAACTTACTTCACAAACTATATTGCGCGAAGATCCTTGAGTGATGAAAAGGCAGTGTCACAATAGTTGTCAAGATTTGTGTAATGTGAACTCTAGCAAATTATTGACAAATTGAAGAGGACTTATTAGTTTCTGTCTATTATGTCACAAGGCAATGTGAAGTTACTATAGTTTACAATTTTACAATTTAATAGGACCGGCTAAAATCTACGGAAAATCAAATACTGCAATTGTCAGATATCATCATGTTTTAAATCTTGTCATAAGAATATCATACAATCCGGATCATCCTTATTAGCTTACTAAACAGTCCATTTTAGCACCAGGTACTGATAGTGCATGGAAAGTGCAAAGTTAATGCAATCTATACGGGAGGAATCTGAGTATGTGATCAATTTTAGGCTGCTCATGTAACAGAAAGTTTACCTAGATAGTTAGGTGCGTTATGAATAACACTGAATGTATGCTATGAAATTTGGCAACGACTCAATCTTTTTTTAAGAATTTTGTGGAATGATTTGCTTATTATCAACTTAATACTTGACATTTACATTAAAATTAGATACTTGGACATTTTCACCACTGTCTAGTCTTTTCAGATTTTGATTGCAAATGGAACACACTTGAGATTTAGGTAGAGGCAGTTGGACATAATTTCTCTAGCAAGTAGTAGAGAGAGATATATAGATAAGTAGATATATAAGGAAGAGTAAAGTACGAATTTTTTTTTTAAAGTTCACTCTTTTACTATCTAAAAGCTTAAAGATATATGATGCATCTTCATTACCAAGGTGGGTATTCTGAAAATACCATGTATTTTTACCTAGTGTATCTAGTCGTTTCTTGTCTTGATATAGTTTGATTACATTTCTGTTTAGGAAATTGTCATGTGCAAAAGGATCTTGATTGAACCATAAATTGATGTTTTAGACTTGCACCTCATACCTTCTCAAACAATTCATAATTTTTTTTTTTGACTAGGTTGGAGGTTATATATAGCTATGAGCACAAACTTTTAGACTGTTGTGAGAGAGGAAAAACATATCTTTTTACAGATTTATACATGGAAGATGATTATTTGATGTTGGATCCCAGCATGTGTTTTCCTGGATTTTACCTACTGGGAGCCCTTACAGATATGAGCACAACGTCATCTATGTTTTAATACAAACTTAGGAGTAACTCATAACATTTCATAGATTTGACTTAACTCAAAAACTTAACCTTGGATCCCGAAGTGCATCAGCTTCTTGACCTACTCATAAATGACTCCAAAGAAGCAACTCCATCCATTAGTTATTATCAACACATATATCCAATTTTGGTACTCATATGATAACAAAATTGTCTTTGCATTAGCCGTCATCATTTATGTTTCTGTCCTTGCACCGCTTAATTATCAAAGTCCGAGTCATGTGACTAAGATGAAGAAGAAGAAAAATATTTTCTGCTCGAACCTTGTTGCAGTTGCATCAAAAATGAAATCTGTCATAATCCAGTCAAATGGATCCCCATAACGTAAAATGTGGTTGCTTTCGGATCCACATTGCGTCATGCAAAAGAAATGTGAATTTAGACATCCATCAAATAATCAATTTTAATTGTTCATACAGATAGCTATTACGCATGATAAGTAATAAGAAGAATGATGATGATAAGGAAGAGTCTAATCGTGAAAATCTAACAATACTTTTTTATGAACACGTTTGGATCGAGCATTGCGTGGAGGCATTTTTGAGTTAATTGTTTTTGAGTTCTTGTAACCGGGTTAGTAGAACTTGTGTTAAATTATGGATGACAATGCGCTGAGGAGGGGTTCACATAGGGTAAATTGAATCGTGGTTTTGAGTTTCGCAGAGATTCATCAAGTAATAATCTAAGTACATGATGTACCACTCTTCTTACTTTATAAATAGTCCATTTTATGATACATGTATTCAAACCTCGAGAGAAATCACAAAGGATTGCAATCCTCAAGGAGAGTAAGATTTGTCACGCTTGATATGCTAATGTATTAGACATTTTGACACACAGTGATCAACCACTATTGTGATACTGTTGGGCCTAGCCCATGCTACCCAGCTGGTTTCATCCATGTACAACTTGATGGAATCCTTTTTGCTATGTAACTTGGTTCAGTCTTAGAGGAGGCTAATGTGATTCAAAATCTACCATCCTTTAATTAAATGAAGGCATGATTATATAAGTGGCAGTTTAGGGTGACACACACTTTTGTGAAACTTCATGACAGTTCTCGATTCGTCAGATGCTAAAATTATTCGCCACAAATAGCAGTTCCTAGTTCTTCTCTTGTGTAGCCGAGGGATTTAAGGTCACATCGGAAACAGAACATCTTCTTTTTGCACAGCAAGGAATTATGTAGGTCAAGGTTTCATGTATAAACAAATGGCTGTTACAATTATCATGCTAAAGAGACGACCATCGAGTGAATTAGTGCACCCGTGACAGATCCATGTTCATCTGTCCAGCCACGACTGTGCTGACATGTGGATAGGTGTATTTTATACAAATATCTCTCTCGAACATCGATAATCATGTCTTAATCTGTGACCTGCAGACCAAAAGCAATTTGTTCATTTGCTATAACTTTGATAGGATCTCAAGTCATGGTGACTGTCACACAGACTGGATTCAGCTAGTACCATTCGTTATGTTCAGACTGCAGACCAGTCCAGTCTCAGACGGCTTTCAATGAGATGAGAATGAGAATTTCTAAGCTTGATCTGGGACTTACCACTGATTTCCCAATTTGTCCTATAGGTCGTTCATTAATTACGATGTCTCCATTCCAGTCGGTTGCCACAACTACAGCCTGGCGGCAAACGTCCAGGCATTGTCCGAGCAAAGAACAGATCAGAGGACCAGCATTGGAAACTCAAAGAGACCAGACTCATTTCCACACCGAAGCAGTTGATTGAACAGGTCACTGGAAGCCAGGGAAGTGAATCTCGCAGCTCTTCAAAGAGCTGTTCTCTCTGATCAGCTGTTATCTTAGAGGCATTTGTCCAGGCCGACAAACAACGTGAGAATTGGATTTGACAATTGCTTTTATAATTCAAAACCTTATGTATACCTATTTTGGCCGCTTCTCTCTGCTTGCTTGATCAACTTGTTCTCGTTTTCCAAGGTCCACGTTAAGACTGTATTTGTTCCCTGAAAGATCTACTTTCAGCGGAGGTCCCAATTTGTTCGGATTCTTCGCCTCTAATGAAGCCCACTTCAGCATAAACTCTAAGGGATCTGCCAAGACATCGTTCCAATATTTATCTCTTCGAAGCACAAAATTATTTATTACTAAGTGTTCACCGGTCTATTAAAGTAGATATATCCGCCCAGCAGATGATGAGATTATTTACAGCCATCACATACGTCTACCAAACATTTAACTGTCAAAATTCCTGCCTTTCTGGTAATTTCGGCGTTCACTCATTTGAAACCACAATTTTTAGAAAGAATTGGACATCGGTGACATCGGATAACAACAATTCTAATGCATCCTGTTTGAATTACCGTCCCAGTGAAATCACAGTGGCGCTGACTTCGAATGCAACCTTTGGGCTGTGCTGTTAGAAGATCGTTCAAGAAGCGGAAGAGCATGTCGTAGACGTCCGGTCGATGGCCATAATCTTCCATGGCCCGATGCCGCTCCTTTTTCTTCACATCATCGTACGTCGGAACCGAAGGATACAATCCGGTCGGTCCCGCCGGCTGCGACAAGGAGGCCATGACGATTTCCTGTCACTCTCTCGTTAAAATTACTCGATCCAGATTCCGTCTCGATTACTGCACTCGAAAGTAACGGTGATCCGATCGACTGGAATTGAAGGCCAGCGCTCGGTCGCGACTGAACGTCCAGAAGCCACGACAATCGAGAGGGCGAGAATCTCCGACGAGTGTTCACTCTCCTCTCTCCTCGCCCGCAAAGGGAAGAGAGACCGTCCGGCGCACGAGAAGTTGGTTGGAATGCTCGTGGGGGGGACGATCGTCCGTTCGCCGCGCTGCACTGAATGCGGAGGGAAAGAGCCACGTTACAAAGAGCAGATGAATTTTTTCGGACAGGTTGGGGGGCGGTAATTTGGGTTCATTATCATCTGAAAATACTGTACATGGTTAAAATAATCTGTCATTCTTCAAATAAAATGTAATATCGATGTTGAAATGATTATCAATTATTCCTTAAAAATACTGAATAGAAGTTAGCACAGTATTTTGGACTTTTAGACTTTTGGGATCTCTTTTACGGGTTCCTTTCATTCTCTAAAAAAGGAAACAGTCTATGGAGCCTAAAAATTTACCCCATGACATGACTGAGGAAAATGCTTAGTCCTGTCATGGAACTTGTGTTTTACTATCATCCATTTACTTCCTTATGGGCCTTTCCCGCCGCAAACATTCCCACGCCGGACGTCTTCGCAGAGCAGACGAAATAGCGAATGGCGATCCCTGACGGTTGTCGCTACTGCCGTCGACCCTCCTCTCACATTGGGAAAATAATTCCCCAAATAGAGTTAAGGTTCGGACAAAGTAAATCATCCGCCGTTGAAGGAGCCAAGAGCAACTCCTAGAATTGTGGAAACCCAAATCTCCCGCACGTGGAAAGGAGATGTGGACGCAATTCGACTAAAGATTCGCCTCGTCTTATTATCTACCAACTTTGTTCAACTTCCTTCCAACCACAAGTCATCATTTCGAGGACATTTAAACTTTTTTATTCTTATTCGCAATTGGGAAAAGCAAAGAGAGTGAAATGTAATTGGAGTAACTGTGGAATATGTCTAAGAGATTGCATTGAGATTATAAATATATTGTTGTAACATCTTGATGTATGATGAGCTAATAAAAATCATCAAAGGTAAACAATGAGGGTCATTAATATGACTCATCAAAGATACACTTTGCTATGTGTTAGATTAATATGTAAAGTTGGACAAGAGGAAAAAAAATTGGTGTAAAATATTACAAGCTATCCTGTGGGAAATCTAATGAGTTGAAAGACATCATTAGACTATTCACTTTGAACATCACTTTTCACTTTATGTAAGGTGAAAATACTGGCACCAATTTCTTTGATAATCTTTTTCAGAATTCAACACCAAGTTAAGACTGCATATGCAGCAAAAGCAATCAATTAAGACATCAAGAATTGATGAACTTAGATTGAATTTAAACTATGGCTATTGTATATGGAGATGGTTTGACAACTCCAGAGGATATATCATGAAGATTAAATTAAGCAGAAAAGGTTTCAAAAAAAGTCACCGGATTGTGCTCTATAGTTAACATAATAAGTGTAATTAACAATGATAAGTATTTTTTCTTCCTAGCTAGGAAGAAGATTTTCTAAATATCTTCTAAACTTTTACTTTTCACAAAAGTGTGAAACAATATCACTATGGAAATTTTATTTACAGTAAATTTTATTTTGTTCCTATTCATTATGACTTATCATAGTTATTCAATATTTTACTCAGATATCTTCACTCCAAGAAGTAAGTAAAAATCTAGTTATAAAAACCAACTTTAAAATTCATGATTAGATTCTTGGAAAATTATGTAACTATTATAAAATGTGAATACGTTTGATTTTTAATGATTTATGTGGATGATCTATACGGTAATATTTATCAATAAAAAATAATCTAATATATTGAAAAAAATTTTAATTAAAATTTTAATAAAAAATTAAAAATATGTCCGGTATATGGTAAATGTTAGTGAATATGATAGCTTAAATATAATTCAAATTTTAAAGAATATGAAGTTGAGCTTGTAAGATTTCAAAAATGGATGGATGTCATTTATCCTTTTCATAGTAATCTTGGATTGAAAATTTGAATTTGTTCAGTGCACAAATATTATAGATGATACATAGAAATATACGATTTTGTGGAAAAAATTATTACATTAGTTAGTTTTGGAAATATAAAACTTAATAGTAACATTTTTCATATGGTGTTGATTCTATGGAATCTACACTTTGATATCAAAATCAGTATATCTTGTGATTATTATGTCACAAAATAGATTGACTTTGTGTTGATTGTCTTCTGATTATTAAGTTCAATACATGTTACTAAAAATTGTTTTTTATTCTAAACATGGAAAAATTGTAGTGATAAAAAATTGGATATGGTTTTGGATATACACCAATCATGTGATCATGTATGTAAAGTACTTTACTTAAATTTGATCCAAAAGTATCCAGGATTTGATTTCAAAATTGAGTTGTGATATGATCAATCAGGTACAACTCATCATCCTAACACTCAATTCTTAATTTGAAATGATGTCAGTTTTTTTGGATACGGCAAATATAATGTTTTTATCACATGGTGAACATTGCTATTCATGTCTACCATAAACATTTGGATTTATATCATATACCGATGAAACAATATCCATATAGGAAATATCTCGATCTTCGACAGCCACACTCTACTCACGTATGTTGAGCTCAAAATCTCGAGGTAGAAACACCACATTGACTATACTGCTGTTGTAGTACAGAAAACATCAATGTGGTACGAAGTAGCGCTTGGAGAGTAGACCACGCTGTACAGCGTCAGCTGATTTTACTGAAAGTTGTGTTGGTTTTTACAGCAAGTCGGAAACGAGTTGGAAGGTCTACACCATGACTGGTTCCCCCTGTCATCCCTGACTTTTCGTTTCCCAAGAATCCCCCTCTCTAAAATTTCGTTTGGTTATCAAAACATCTCAAGGAAAACCACGTCAGACACTCTTTTAAATGGAAATGCTGAGTTCTTTGATTTCGTCTGCGCGAAAATTTACTCACAAATAGTGAAGAGAACGGTGACTTTTATGCGGTGGGGTATACTGTATTTTCTCACAAAGGTAGAAGTCAGGAAGCCCAGATGTTCATTTGTCTTTCCTGTAGAATGCAATAATTTCTTGACAGCTAAGATAAGCACGCATACCTTGTCTATCACTCTTCTGTCTTCGCAGAACGTGGCAGAGAACAAGAGAGACCCATCCAATGCTGTACACGAGTAAGTTGGGTGTGTCTTTGGGTTGACATAATTCATTCCATTTATTGGTCTACTGACCAGGGCAGAATACTGCATGTGTTGACAGCTGTGTTTGGAAAGTTCATGAGCTTTAGGCTATTGTGCGTCTTGAGACTCGTCCAGGATAAAACTTTTAGAATATTTGCTTGATACATTACATAGCCTCTGAATTGGTACAATTCATGCACCTTGACAAAGACAAGGTGACTGGTTCATCAAACAGACAAGCTGAAAGCGAGATCTCAAGCCACTCCCGGTCCTACGGGTCGAGTCTCAGAATCGAACAGTCACATATTCACCTTTATCAAGAGTTTGCTGACTAAAACATGACACTGTTTGGCACCGGGAGCCATGAAGCTTGTGAACACAAACTTCCAAGCTTCATCTTCCACATGATAGACAAGATAAATATGTTCAATTTCTACGCTTCAATCCTAAACTGCCTGTAATACGTGTGTTGTCCAAGTCCCAAATCTTCACCATTACAACGCACCACTTGGAAACCTTCATCGATGACCAAGCGTGACAAAAGGTTTGATATACCACACAGAAATAAATCATGTATATAGAGGTAATTCAATGCTTGACCTAATAGCATTGACCAGCCAAAACTGTACAAAGCGTAAACCTTATTCAACAAAAGAGGCCAGACAATCCTCGCAGTTGCAAGAAACAAAGTAAGCAGACTGCAAGGAACAAAGTAAGCGATGGTCCTAGTGACGGATGGCTGATTTCCTCTCCATTTGTCGCAGCTACCAAAGTAAGGCACTATGCCAGGCACAAGTACAGAAGCTGTAAACGGTCGACTTTGACGTCCAGCATGAAGGCTGCCGAGGCATCCTCCAGTGGCATAACATAGCGTTTTACTTGTCCGAGAACAGACTCTTCCAACATTTATACACCAGTGACAAGAAACATTCAATTGTAACAAATCAACCGTGAGCCATGACACGTCAGCTTCTACTCCGTCTGCAGGGCTTTCATCAACCACAGCAACCACCTTTGGGAGCCAATGACGCGTCCCCTCGGCCTGCCCCTGCCGTGCCAGCTCCTCCTCCGTAACCTACTTTGATACCGTAGGACTGCAACAGATCCAACTCACGTTTGAGACTGCTAGCCGACTCACAATAACGAGGTAACTAACTACTCATGACGTAAAGTGCAATCGTTCTTTCCCGATGCTGATAAATATCAAAGACGATCCGTTCCAAGTTTCGAAGAGCAAGATATAGAGGTCTAAAGAAGTCACTTCCGAGTATCTTATTTCGGAAAAGGGAATCTTTCATGCCCTTTTCCTCTTCCCAAGAAAGCTAAGATGAACGCCACCCTCGATGTGTTTCAGGATACAACACAGGCGTGACCCCTCGGTCGCGATCGAGATAATTATGTCGCAATTGTCAGAAGGCACAATCAAGAGCGGATAAGTGCAAACAAATTGGCAAGGGCATACATACTTGAGCTTATTAGATGAATGCAAACGGTCAAACTTGGTTCAAGACTCACCTCATTAGACACATCAAAAATTCCCTCCTCGATCTTCTGATAAATCTTTGCCGCCGTGTTTATAAATGCCTGCCATGATAATTCCAGATTGCAAGGCACCATACATAGATCAGTGTCACGCGTCCGACCAGACCAGTTACCAAGGCGCAAGTATTGTTAAGTCCACCACTGCCGTAGAGCTTTCAGATAATTATCCTTTTCAGCATATAATTTGATATACGTGAGGGTTAACAAAACTGACAAATTAGCATACAACCAAGTCAGAATATCGCAGTTCTTTACCTCTTCAACATTAAAAGCTGTTTTCGCAGATGTTTCCATAAACACCAGTCCATTCTCCTTCGCAAATTGTTCACCTTCTTCCGTGCTAACAGCTCTTCTATGAGCAAGATCGCACTTGTTCCCGATAAGCATAATAGTCATATTGGAATTTGCGTGTTGCCGTGCATCTTCCAGCCAACTTGCAAGGTGATTGAATGTTTCTCTCCTGTTCGTTCACAACGTCCAGTGTCAAGCAAGCTCTTCAGCAAGCTACGTCAAATTATTTTTTCGAAAAAAAAACGTGCCTTTTGTTTATAGATAACGCATTAGAAAGATAAACTTAGCATCGTGGACTTCACAGCACCCTATCTTTGGTTTGCCCAGAAATAGATACACACCTGGTGATATCGTAGACAAGTAGAGCCCCAGCTGCGCCTCTATAGTAAGACCTTGTGATCGACCGAAATGACTCTTGTCCAGCCTGTCCAGTTACAAGCATAAAATGAGCACTTATTTGCATCACCTACATAGCTCAGCAGTCGTTTCACTCTTCATTTCAAGGTCAGCATATGGGTAATTTGTGATTTTAATCAGCTCTTCCAGACAATCCAGGAGTCTACATGGCTTGCAGATTTAGCGGTGACTCTAAATTCAATCACAAATCCGCTTTGAAGAAAATTTTTTCTTTCCGTTTCATTACATCTGCCTTCCATTTAATGATGTACAAGTCCATGATTTGACCGATACGAAGAAGTCCAAAGACAGGACACATGCAGTTACAGGTAGAATACATCGTTCAAACAAGCTTTCAGTCAGCATGGAGCTCGCGGAATCTGTTTAGCTAGTAGTATTACAGGATACGAAGGTGTCTACCCCTCTGTCCAAGTGTATACAAGGGATTTTTCCCAAAACCTCAGTAACCGTGATTCAAGACCCCGGGCTTCATAAGTGCGAAATGATAGCAGACCTCACAGAAGAACGAAAATGCATTGACACACTTGAGGCGAACAGAAGTGGACAAGGTGAGAAAGACAAGAAGCCGTATACGTGAGACGGCGATAAATCATGGTAGATTGACCAGCAAGAAAAATCTCAACCAGAAAGTCAACGCAACTGAAAGACCTTGCTTTGGCGTGAAGCATGGAGACGCCTTGCATTCATTCAGATGTCAGCAACACCCGGCCTGTTCTTGAAGTGTAGATCTCGACAAGACCAGGACACTTCTACCGTTGCAACACACCAAATTGCCAGCTATGAGTAAACGGCTTCAAAGATGGCAGTTCTTGCGATGTGGAGAATCGTGCGATGAATGCTCACACGGCTCTAGACGCTTCAGGAGCCCACATAGTCGACGAATCATATCCTACCGTCCATACCAATGGTTTTCAATCCAATGTGACGATGGGGTACGAAACGCAAGTGATCGAAGTCGCCTACGTGATATCGAATTCGTCTCACAGTCACAAAGCGTACGAAAGATTACTACGCTCCGACTGACCTTCGGGACTCAAGCCGTCAGAAAGAAAGATGTCGAGCGCATACCGTATCCCAGATTTGGAGTTTGATAGGTTTGCTATCGATCGTGATCATGCGCGCACCAAACTCCACGCCGATAGTTAGATCATGTACGGGCTGGAACCGTTTGTCTGTGAATTGCAAAAGAAGGCATGATTTCCCGACACCTGCACATATCCGGACCACCAATTCTCAATCTCGGCGGCCCCGGCAAACCTAATCTCCTCCTCCTCTGCTCCGCCACACCAAGATTGCAAGCAATTTCTCTAAACCCACCCCCTACCCCACCGCGATACGCTCGAAATCACAGCAAATCACCATCAATCATACCAGTGTCGCCTATGATAATATACTTGAAGAGGTACGCGTAAGACATGGTTCAAAGCTCGAGGCGCAGCCGTCAGTCCTTGTAGATTCTTCCTCTCCTCGTCCTCGTCGTCCCCTTCGTCCTCGTGCTCGTCCTCCCTGCCTGCCTGCCTCCCTCCCAGCCTCCTCTTCAAGCTCGCTCCGCTCCAGACACTTACGTACAAACCATTCGGGATACTACTACAAGGACGGATGGCAGCAAGCAATCTCCTCGTCGATGCCTTGCCTGCCTGCCTGCCTGCCAAAGAAATCAGCAGAAAAGAGAGCTCGCAATCGAACACTTGTATATTAGCTGCTGCTGCGTGTCCGATCGTGTGACTCAGTCGCCAGTAACTTCCTCCTTCCAATCCAATCACACTGCTCGCAAATGGGGCCCCTCCCCTTTTCCCTTCCCTCTCGCCTCCGCCCTCCCCTCTCCCTTTCTCCCCTGCCCGCCCGCCCGCGCTTCCCTTCATTCCTTCGCCGACCAGCTGCACATCTTCTTATGCTTTCCTCGTCTTCTTGCTTCGTGCATCGCCCGGCCCGGGCCAATGCGCACCACCAGATTCAGGACCTCGGGAGCGAGCCCGCTTACGCTTACGTGGTACGCGAGCTGTACTGCACGACAACTCGACCAGCAATCATCCGCGCTGTCCAGGTTCGGTACGGGACAGAGCGGAGCCGGAGCATTACGTGGTCCGTGGCTTTCTCCCTCTGCGAACCACGCCACGTCGGCGGTTGTGTCGACGGCGGCCGGCCCCGTCCGTCGTCCGTCGTGGATGCGGAGCGGCCCCGCCGACGTGGCTGCCAGGAAGCCCCGCCGACTTCGGTTCGTATTCCTCGTTTTCTCTCTCTCTCTCTCAGCACGCGATTCTACCGATGCTGCTGACCTGGATGGACATCTGGAATCGGGGTTTGCTCCTGCAACATTCTCCTGACCTGGTCCGGACGAAAGGCTACTAATGACGTGGAGGTGGATCGGCGAAGCTGGCACCGCGAGCACCGACACCCGTCCACTCCGTAGAGTCCCATCTGCAGCTCGTTCGCGCAGTCGCAGTTACCCCGACCACCGAGGCCTCAGTCTGTTCTTATTCGCCTCCCCGTCGGGCGTGACGTGAGTGGCAGGGGATGTTCTTGTACGGTCCTGGATTGCAGGGTACAGTGGCAGCCGGGCTCCATCCCGATGCTTCCCGCCATTTCCCAACGTTTGCTTTGGGCGCGGGGAGGAGCGTCGAGCGCCGAGCGCCGAGCGTCGAGGGAGACCGTCGCCGCCCGTTCTCTTGAGAATCGCAGCATTTCTTAGAGCAGCAGATTTTGAGTGGTGCGATGGCGGAGGCCCCAATTCGCTCGCCCCCGGCTTCCCAAGGTTCAGGACGCTTGGGCATTCTCGTTCTTTGTTGACGAAGGTGCGAAGAGTTTCGCAACGCTGCCTGTGAATTTTGCCTGCTTTTTTTCTCTGTCAATTTCTGTCATTTTTGGTCAATTTCGGACTGAGGCCGTGGGCTTTGTGTCTGAAATTGTCGGCGTTTCGGTTCGTCTCATTTCTTTTCTCGTCTTGTGTTTCGGGCGGAGGTTTCGCAGGCTGTTCTTTCCTCTCATTGGGTCACAGGTGCGAAGAGGTCTGTGAGGAATGTAGGTCCGTCGTTGGTGGTTCGTGAAAAGGCGCAAGGTTGTAGATTTCGCTGGAGGCCCTGATCGTGGTAGGATTTGGCGGGATTCGGACAGAGGAGGGTATGCAGTCGAGTGGCTGAATGCTTCCAAAAACTGGCCGTGCACCTTGGGAATTCTGATCTCTGAATTGTGTTTTCACTTGCGAGCGAGATAAGTTTGGGCAGCACAGGATTGCTGTATTCTACCAAATTGGAGCTTGTGAAGTGGTTTCGATACCTATATTCAGGAGGCAATGGCATAAGCTGGAGTACTGACAGGGTTCGATGACTCCTAGGACCTTCACGAAGCTGCTGCGCCACTGAACGGAACTTGCTCGAGCTAGTCAGAATCTGGACCTACCTCGAAACTGATATCTGCTGTACTGTGTAAATAAAAAGTGGCAAGATGTTGTGGGTTGACAAGTACCGCCCCCACACGCTCGACAAGGTTATGGTGCACGTGCAGGAAGCACAGCATCTTAAGAATCTGGTACCTGCACAACTCATTTCTCCCCTGGACAGTTCCATCACTGATGGTTCAACATACGTGTTTACCTACACCAACTTAACGCAACATTAATCTACAAATAAGCTAGTTTGTGAACGATTTTACTATTCATTACTCTTTTGAGAGAAAGGATAAAGGACAGAGATAGTGCACTATCAGGGATAATTGATCTACGTTTACTTACAGTTCAGTGTTTAAACTCTTCGAAGCCGATTTTCGACGGAGTGAGATCCAAGCTCTTACTCGTGGATGGGATATGTTACCAGATTGCTCAAGGTGATTGTCCCCATCTCTTATTTTATGGTCCGTCAGGAGCTGGGAAGAAGACCTTGATTATGGCTCTCCTTCGAGAAATGTATGGAATAGGTGCCGAGAAGGTGAAGAATCTCTGCCGTATTATTTCAAAGTCTTTACAAGGTCCCCACTTTCTGAAGTCACTAGCATTAGTTACTTTCTACTGCGTAGGACTTATCTCCTGGTCTTAAAACTGGAGGTGTGTATGCCGGAATCGTTATCTTCAAAAGGTCTCGAGGTACTCATGCATAGCTGTAATTTTCGCATTTGTTGAGGTGACCTTCTACGTTAATTTTAGCTTTTAGCTGAAACTTCTTGGCCCAGAACGATCAGTCACGAGTCTCCCAGAGGGAGCTAGACCTCTCTGGATTGGCACTGGCCCCTAACGTACCGTCCGTTCTGTTACGATTTTTGCAGGTGAAGGTGGAAAACAAGCCGTGGAAAGTGGAGGTACAACATCTTTTCTTAGTGGATCACTACGTCACATTCTCTTAACGCTGGTATATTACAACTTTAGAGAGAAGCTTATTGTCTGTAAATGATCTGCAGGCTGGTAATAGAAAGCTGGAGATAGACTTGACGACAGTTTCCAGCAATTACCATGTAGAATTCAGTCCTAGTGATGCGGGTTTCCAAGATCGCTATGTTGTTCAAGAAATTATCAAGGAAATGGCTAAGAGCAGGCCTCTTGATGTTTCAGGAACGAAGGGCTTCAAAGGTATTTGACCTCGCACATTTTTTTCGACCACTTGCTTTTAGCTGGCATTGAGTAGACTTCAGGTCAAATCAGGTTTAGTAGAAACCATCACGGATGAATCTCCATGAAAGATGAACGTTCCTCGTGGATGTCTGCTTACTCATGTATTCTCCTCGTTTGCAATCTCTTGATGATTTTCTTCAGTTTGAGCTGATTCACTTTCCCATCTGGATTCCACAGTTCTCGTTTTGAACGAGGTTGACAAGCTTTCAAGAGAAGCTCAGCATTCGCTTAGGCGGACGATGGAGAAATATAGTTCGGCGTGTAGATTGATTTTGTGCTGCAACAGTGCATCTAAAGTTATCGAGGCTATTCGCTCCAGGTGCTTGAACATTCGCATCAGTGCACCGACGAAGGAAGAGGTACAATGCCTTGAATTAAGGCATTGAACCAGAGATATGCCTTCAGATTCTCAGTCTTTCAGATATCTTCTCCTTCTCTTTAGCCTGCAGAGGGATTAAGGATCTAGTTACTATTTGTGAAGAGGTAACAATATACTTGGAAGACTCCGGGCAGTATCATTACTCATCCATTTTAACCTGATTGGTTAGTTAAACTCTTACTTGTTGCAGATTGTGGCCGTGATGCAACATGTAGCTAAAAAGGAGAATCTGCAGTTGCCCATGGGTTTGGCTGGGCGGATAGCCTTGCTTTCCAACAGAAATTTGCGGGCAGCTCTTCTCTCATTCGAAGCATGTTATGTCCAACAGTAAGTCTGATGTGTAATTGTGGGGTATAATGCATCAAAGCCATGTCACATGATATGCAAAATAGATATCTGGATACGCAGATTGCTGAAGAGAAGCTGACTGAGAGAACTTGGTGAACAGATATCCTTTCTCTGAAAACCAGGCAGTGCAGGCAACAGACTGGGAACAGTACGTCACGGAGATTGCCAATGACATAGTTACTGAGCAAAGTCCTAAAAGGTACCACTATGGCTGTATATGAGGTTTCTATGTACTGTGGTCTTTTTGTAAGCGTATTTCATCTTCACGGAGGTTAACACATCGAAACGTATCAATACATCAGAAATTTGATCTGGCCATTTTTGTGGTTTCCCAGGTTGTTCCAAGTTAGAGGAAAGCTTTATGAATTGCTTTCCAACTGCATACCTCCAGAAATTATACTGAAGGTCGGTTCTCGTTTCCAGTCAAATGGATGCAATTGTTCTTAGTAACTAGCCTTGAGAGGTGGCCTTTTTAAGCGTAATTCGTCTGGTTTTCTGAGTGGCTTTGGTTTTCGTTCATTTTTATTGGAGATACAGTTTGAACTTTTAATACTTTATCGACAAATGGAATGTTCAACTTTTTTTAGATGGGATGAAACTTCCGTTACATGAGAACTTGGTTTTCTAAGTACAAATAGCACGTCCTTCTCATCTGTTCTTGAAATTGTCCGAAACAATTGCCCTCATGCACTTCACTTTTCCTCGTGAAATGAATTACTATTAGCATGTTCGTACCAAAAATTTTATTAAATATAGTTCATTTGTACGCTGATGCTTGGAATGAAACAGAACGTCTTAGACTCGCTGGACTTCGTACCTGAACTCTAGTTTCTGAATGAATATTCCGTTGGATTGGCTGTTCTCAGAGGTTGTTGGTAGAACTGATGAGGAAACTGGATTCAGAGCTCAAGCGGGAAGTTTGTCATTGGGCTGCTTATTATGTAAGTCTGACAAGCTAAAACCTTCTGCCGCTATTCAAACGGTTTGCACACTTGGAAGATTGTTAGTCGAGTTTGGGATATCTGCCTTCAATTTTCCTGAGCTATCTTAGGCTGGGTCATAAGGTATTGCTTATCGTGCCAAAGTTCTAGCTCTCGTATATAGTTAGACTAGCTTCAATTCATACGTACTCAAATCGTAGTTTAAGAGAAGCGAAGAGACAAGTGAACGAACAGTCAAGTACTCAATTCGGAATTTTGAGTTTTGCAGGAGCACAGAATGCAGCTTGGACAGAAAGCCATTTTTCATTTAGAAGGTACGTTTCTTTTACGATGAGCGCAAAAATCATTAAAAGGAGTGTATCGCCCGGGAAAGACTGAAGCCATGCTAGAGCAGATCAGAAACGTTTAAGACCCACATGCTTGGGACTGGTTAACGATCCGAAAGTGAAGATTGTTTACGGAGGATTCTGGTTCAGATCTTGACAATGGAACTTTTACATTGTTAATGTGAATCTTACCTACGTTTAGGATTTCTCGCAGATTATCTGCTTGCTGTACTTCCAGAGAATATTCAGATCGAGCTTTAGAGGGTATCTCCTGCCTAAATTGTTTCGTGGTTAAAGTTTATTTGAAGTATAATCTTGTACCGTGTTGTCAAATCTAATTGACGTCCACTTACTTTGCAGCTTTCGTCGCCAAGTTTATGAGTATCTACAAGAGGTTTCTGATTGCCACCTTTGGATAGAAGAACCTCTTCCTCTGAAGCTTCGGACACATATATCAAAAGGCTCTTAATTTGACTTGAGCGTGAAGTCGAATCCTGGATCGACCGACCTGTAGTCAGTTTCAACTTTTGGACCAACGATTTTTGATAGGATGTCTTGTAAAGAGTTCCGGACGGACATAGTGTTTTCCATAAAAACCTCCAGAGCCAGAGTTTGAATGCACTTCTGGTGGGAGTGAAGGTACTCGCACAACAGGTTGACGGCCGGATGTTTGATTTTAACATGTCTGCAAATCAGGTCATGTACTTGGGAGTGCACGTGTCAATAGCCAACAGGTTTATGGATCTTTCTATCCACGGTCTCGAAGCGCCGTCCTCCTGAATTATAGATCATTGTATCCGACTGCTCGGCATGACTTGTATGAGCAACATTCATGTGCTCTTTGTTCCTGAAAAGCGTATAATATGAACGGTTTATACGTTTGTAATATTTTCATCCGATTCTTTTCTCATATTCTCTTGAGAGAAAATGTAATTTCAAAATTATAATTATTCGTTGTTTAAGTGATTGATCTTCGTGAGATGTTCTAATTTAACGTGTGACTTTTGGTTGTCGATCTGAAGCTCTCAATGTGAATTCTGACTAGTGAAAAGGTTACAAATTTTTATGTACAACAGATGCAGTACAATACGAGTTTCAAGAAATGTCCACATTGATTGCCATTAGTGAAAATGAAAATCGCCCAAGCTGTTCAGAAACTGCGAAGTGTGAACTTTACAGCTCAGTATCCGTTGAAGATGACGATGAGAGGAATACCGGAGAGACTTTTACTCCGAAGCGCAGGTTTCACAATACAGTTATACGTAACTTACGTCCATGCAAAGTTGCAGTAAAATTTCCTAACATAATCCATACTCCGCTTCTGCATACACCAGGGAAGGCGACCAGTTTGGGAACGCTTGCGTGATTTGCCACTCACGTAAACTGGGAGTTATCCAAAAGGTGGAGGTGAAAATTTACTTGTACGTCACCCACATTCCAACCTCATCGCATCAAAAGTCACCCAATTTAGACGTGAATAGTCGAAATCTTTTTCTCATCCTCCCAACTAGAAACACTGTTTGATAGTGGCAATAATTACATGTCGACCGCGGGAGTGCCGCGAGAGTAATGGCACTCTACTCGCTGATATCAGGACCGAAAGTTTCACCTCCTCAAAGAGAGAACATTTGGTAGTTGAAGTTTCCAAGTCAAGCTGAGGAATTCTGAAGGCGTGCTGATTTAATGATGGTCGAAGCCTACCTTCGCTCATAAATGGACTCAAATTCTTCGAATGTCAAAGCTCGGGATTTTCATCTATAATTTAATAATTTACAACTCACCAACTAAGCTACAACTCTACCTGGGCGTAGTAGCTACAATTTGCTGCCTCAATAAGAGGCAGAACTGAAGGTACTGCTCAACAGAATCAAATTCGATCCTAAGCGTCAGCAATCATGATCAATATCACCTGTGCCAATTGTGTTTAGGTCTGAAGCCACCCGAACTATGACTACTTCACGAAGACAAATGTGCATGGCCCTTTCCTGTTGTGAGAGATAGTGTACAAAGTTGAACCCAACAATCCTGATGCAGGTCAAGACCACAACTCCATAACAAAACAACTAAATGAAAAGTCTGATCCTGGTTGCGATCTTCTTTCGACAAAAAGGACAGTCTTGCAAGGTCCTTCCACATTCTTGGCACGTCTGCAGATAACCGTCCAAGGTTCAAGTCAATCAACCTGTAAAACACCTAAGTCATCCAAAGTCCAGTGTGAACCAAAAGGGTTCCCCCGCATCCATTCAAATAGCATTCCACTGAGTTGAGACTTATGGCAAGAGGGTCCAAATAAAAACAAGGAGCAGTATGCACACTCGAGGGAGAGAAAGAAACACACCTGATGTCCACAACCGAAAGCCATGTCTCTTTTGTTCGAGTAGCAAACTTGACACCGTGTCTGCATGAAGAATACAACGTCAGACTAGTTAGCACTTTTCTCTTATGTACTGAGCCTTTCTCCCAATTGAAAACTCCCGCACGAGCTTAACATCCATGTCTAAGACCGTCTTCCCGAAACACTTCCTTCACTCCTGTCGTGCGTTACTGTTTGCTTCTAGGCTAATACCACACCAGTGTTTCCCTTTTACCTATTCACTAAACTGAAGTAAAGAAACACACACACGATACGAAGACTTTTTAATTCGTTCAGATTTTCACCTCTTAAAACTACACTCAGCAGTCTGTCCAGAGAATCTTCCCTATCCCGCCTCTTAAAATTACTTACTTATCGGTAGTCTGCTACTACTTGCAACGCTCAGCCAGGGCGGAGAGTACGAGGGGCTAATAACAAGGGTAACACCAGACAAGTACACAACTCGTGCGTACTTTCCTCGATGATCTCTTCTTCTATTGATATCAGATTAAGCAAGCGATTTCACAAGAAGAAACTTTTAAGTAGATAAACTAAAAAGCTCCAGCATTGAATAACAAACCTGCTCTTCGTTCTGTTCCTTTGGAACTTCAGGTACTCTACTTTGTTGAGGGGGGTAAGTATAAGCTGATGCGCGAGGTGGGTATTGATGTGGTGGTAAATTCATGTAATCGGGCGGCGACGTGTTCTTGGGAGGATAAGTATCAACAGACGCGTAAGGCGGAACGGCCCTCGAAACGCCTGGGTTGTAAGCGAAGCTTCCTGACTGAGTGTAGCCACCAGGCTGGGCATAACCAGAACGTAATTGGGAATCTGCGTGTAACACTGCTTGAGGTGGAGGAAGAGGCGGATTGTGTTGAGTTCGTCCCATACGTCGCCTGGAGTAGACAAATTCAGAAACCGTAAAACATTCACTCAGACATCAGTAAACAAACTTCATTGGAGGTTGCCACACTTTCAATTCATCAACTAAATCAAGATGGATATCAGCTTCACAGACTTGGCGATCCGTTTGAGAATATTACCCCAACAATTTGAGCTCTTGAGTTGCTTTAAACTGTTGTGGGATCTCCATCAATGCAGACAGGGCGAACTTTGCTTCCCTCTGTTCCATCGGCAAACCTCTCGACATGATATCCGTAAAGTTCACAAACTGCAAGAAGGACGATACAACTTCATCAAAGTTTTGCGCATAACTCACAGCAGGGATAACTGAACACTAGTCCTGTGACCATTCCTTGGACAAAAATGGGGACAAATCCTGTATCCACACTCAAACATATCTCATAAGCTGTAGTAATCAACAGACAAATGTCTCCCAGAGGTGGCACACCTGAAAATTGTCAAATGCGCGGGCTGGGATATTGTCATCAAATTCCCGCATCATATCCCAAGGTCCATCACCGACACCAACCAGTATGATTGACAGTGGGTGGTCACTGCACACGTCATTGGAATCAGATATATTTGAAGATCTTGGCAGCAGCTATTTTCAATCTGGATCCGATATTTCACATATTTGAAAAACCTAGAAACAACATCAACACACGATATAAAACAGAACGTACCTGGCTGCCACAATTGCATCAATAGTCGCTTTCTCCTGAGCACTGAGTTTTCCAGGTCCTGTCTCGACACTCCTTGTGACCTGCGATTCAGAAATAACGCCGAATTGCACAGTTAGCGCAACCAAAGCGTCATTTGGACATGTTGAAGGTTTTGAAAAGCCACTATATCCCATATGCATTCTTTCAAACTAGCGCGCTTCTCCCTTTAAAATGTTCACGCATTTATTTGAAGACGATGGTTCGTTTCCCGCTCAGGTCCAGGCAACTACGCGATAAACTCAGATTCAAAAAAACTGCCATCTGCTGTAGAAACCTTAGCTCGACTACAATTTCCATGTAAATGTGTTCACGTGGAGACTATGATTCTCACCCTACCCCCAGTGCTGACAATGAAACTGGAACGATCGAAGCGTTACAAGGCCAACTTAGAGTCTGCAAGCAAATGGAACTGACTTCACAAGCACGCATACCTGCCCATCCGCAACGATGACAAGCACATGATATTGACCACCACTTTCCTCCACGATGCCCACGGCTGCGTCGATGATTGGGGCGAAAGATGTAGGTCCTGTAAACGACGCATTTCTAGTTTAGACTGATTTTACTATCCGCCGAGCCAGAGGCATTCGTGCGGTTTGATCTGTTCAACTTCCCTCAAATCACAAACTTTTGCTGATCTGCTCGTGGGCTTGTATGCTTAAAGGCAGCAGGTAACAAATCCTTGCAGGTGCATTCCAAGCTTTACGAACAGATACGACTGCAGAACTGAGGAGCGACAGATTGGATAAATCTAGATGCATCTTTCAGTTACATCGAAGTCTTTTGTCACAACTTCATTTGAAAAGTAGATCCACAGAAAAAGGCATCACGCTTCTGAGCTACGTAACAAATCGCGATGTTTTAGACCTACCAGCAAGGCGAAGACAAGGCACCAACTGTCGGTATCTATGAAGCGCTTCCTCGAAACCGTGACATGGACGCTGATCTTCGTAGAAGCTAAACACAAAGTGATCATGGGTTGAAACTGAAAATTGCACCAGGCATTTGTGAGAAGGCTAGAAAGCAAGACGTGATTTACTTTAGGAATTTGCCACGTGTCCTCTGTCTGAAACGCCAAGTTGCTAGAAAGTATATCCGACAAAAAGAGGCCACACACTGAATATGAGGGTTTTTATTTTTATTTTCAAGAATAAACTTTCTAACTCAGTCATACGTTTGTACTAAATGAAGACCATTGCAAACCCAGACTATAAATCCTTAAGGCTCGACATAGAATTGCTTATAAGATGGACGTGTCCTCTACAGGTTGTTAAAGGAGATGAAGAAGGTGCCAAATCAACCCTACCACAGCGAAGTCTTATAAAGGTCATAAACTTCCGTACTCAACTGACCATATGATTAATAGAAATCCCCGTTCTGTCTTTAGATCAATCTCCTATGCATGACGTACTTTGGCGTTGATCGACGACAACAGAAGGCGGTGCTCAAAGATAGTGGAAGACGATCACGGACTAAACGATAAATCAAAGAATCGAAAACTCACCATCTCCGAAGCCAAAACATGGTATCAGGTTGTCTTCGTCGAATTGTGACAATGTTCGACCGATAATGGATATGGCAGATTCGTAAGGATTATAGTGCTCTCCAATTGCGTGAAGGCTACGCCCATTGTAGCACTGCTTTCCTGAAAAATATGAAGCACGTTCCACGTGTCAAACTGAGTTGAAGTCGACCCCGGGGGCGTTCAAGAGTGTAAATGGCTTTCTTTGCACGTAAATATCTATGAGGCAGTCTATCCGAGTGTAGTCGCTGGCAGAAGCTGATGCTGTCTACAAACTGGTGTACTCCAATAACCAGCTGCCTTCTATGCATGCAAACAACTACCATTCGACCGTCCTGATGCACGCCCTGCTTTAATATCGTACTGAATTACGAATTCGAGTTCAAGTCGAGTACGCGCAGAGTGCACGAAAGGACTAGTCCGGACGCTAAATTGCAACTTCAAGTTTGAACCCTTACCAGTCCACTCATTGCTCTTGGTGAAGTCAATCCCCAGGATCAGGTTTGACGATTCTAGACCGGCGTTCGATAGAGATTCTGTGACCTGTATCAAACACGAAACATAAATTTCTTCCTTATTGACACAATACCACAAAAGCACGTACGAAAGGGAACAAGTATCAGTTGGACGTACGTCTACACCCCCCAAATTACACTCGCCGACGGAGCAGAACAAGAGGGAGCTCACTGAAACAAAGTCGCGTAACTGTCGCGTTTGATGGCAAAAAAATCATGACAAGCTACTGGCAACAACACGTCCAGCTATGATCCCCAAACGCTCATCTTCGTCGTCTCCTTGGGCGAAATTGAGCTAATTATTCGCCAGTTTGAGGTGGCAATCATATGGACGTTGTCCTAAAAACACTACTTGCCTGTTCGAGGGATTGATATTGATCAGATATGTACGAAAATTTCCTCGAGAAACGTCGGTTCAGCCGTGAAGCTGATGGGACAGGCCTTGATGTATCGAACTCAGGCGCGGGAGGCTTCACGCGCGATTGGCCGCCGCCCATACTATCAGCCCTTTGATTCCAAGATGGGGTTCTGCTTGAGATATGCAATTATTCCGCGAGGAAAACCCAGGATTTTGGCGATACAGAGAATAAAAGGTTGATGCGCTCCGTGCTGCCTGAACCTGTTTGTGCTACACAACGTAACAATTCCCCTTCCTTTTGAAGTGATTCTAACTTCGATAATTCCTTCCGCGCGATGATCACCGCCGGTTACTTCCCTGCAACCCACCGCAGTCGACTTTCGACCTGCCTTGCAGAGTGGTTCGAGATCTGACAAAGCTCAGAGCACCAGTGCTTCAATCGTACACTTCTATCACAATCCGAATTCTTCCGCAAGCTCTTCAGTTTCCTGCTCCCCTTCTTCAAGATCCACCGCGGACCAAGTTTCCAATGTCAACGGACTGTCCAGGCGCAAATCTGAGCTGACGTGAAGAAAACGTCCAGACCGCGTGCACGGAGAAAGCGCACTGCCCGTTACGATTAGACAATTCTTTTCCTCCTTGATCCTCCTGAAACGGTTCAAAAATGGACAGGCTTCAGCGAAAGAAGAGCATCAGAATCACAAATCGACGCTGTTCGTCGTGCCCTCAGGTCCGCACCCCGCAGACCTAACCGCAGACACCCTCCAGCTCTCAGCACGTTTACGAAGTGATCCAATTCAGGGCGATCTCCACATAAGTCCAAAGCGAACGCGTCGTCGACACGGAGAGATCCGGACCCGGACCCGATATCGCACTATAGACCTAGACGAGCAAAAAGCCTGGATATGCCACCGACTTCGGCGCAACAACCTCGACCTCGGGCCAGCCGATTCACAGGCGAAACCGAACCGAAGGCGACAACAACAACAAAAAAACAAAAAACCACGAGGCGACCCACAAGCCGCTGGATCTCGTCGTCACCGCTCGTGACGTCGAGGCAGGAAAATGAGGCTCCGACAGAGCACGAATCGCACGAATAGCACGTACCGACTCGAGCGAGGAATCGATTCCCGAGCGTGCAAGAGAGTACGGATCAAGATTCTTATCAGTGGCAGCAGCTGTTGCTGCTCCTGCGCCTCGTGCCGCGAGCTTTAAGCTTAATTTCCCTCGACGATGGCTTCGCTCCCTCCCCTCCCTCGCTCCCTCCGTCAATGGCCCCGCGTTTCCCCGTCCTCGCCTTCGTCCTCGTCTGCGGCTCCTGCTGCCGCTGCTCCTCCTCTCGTCTCGTCTCCTCTACCCGTTGCCCGCCCACGCTCCTCCCCAACGCTCCTCCCCCAGCTCCGCCGTCGTCGTCCGCTCCTTCCGGGAACCTCCATCCACTGCGTTCCAGTACCACTTACTCGGTCGTCGCCTCTCCCTCACGACCTACGTGGTTCCCACCCTCCATCCTCGTGGTAGCCCCTCTCGATGCCATGGAAAATTCCATATTCAGGCAGGCCTCTCGAGAGGGACATGAGTTTCACCCCGCGAAGCTTCTACGACGAAGGAAACGACATCAGGGAGACTATAATGAGAAAGCACTAATACTAATATTTAATTATTTTCTCCTGGGCCGAAACCGAAACTTGCCTTGATCAAGTAGTATCGAAGCGGGTGGATAATTTTGATGACTAATTTTCGGGTATGTGTCGCTTCTAGAAGAGCGTTACGATATTTCCGCCGGGCATGCGTGGTGGGAGGTGATGTCTGTTGTGTGGTGCGGCGTCAAGGAGTCAACGTGGTAGGAGGAGACTGAGTCAACGACGTAGCTTCGGAGATGAGGTGAAGAGAAAGGGGAAAGGGGGCTGCCATTGAGGTGTGTCAGCGTCGGACCTTGCCAGGAAGGGATCTGAATCATGAGTTATCAAGATATGACGAGAAGCAACGAGTGACAGAGCTCCAAATCCGTCCTCGTCTGCATCCGAGTCAGTTTTTTCGATTTCAATTAATTAATCAATTATTATTTTATTTGTTCCATTTGTTCATTTGCATGTTTTCTCTCCGCCCGCGAGTCTGAGCAGAGCTCCCCTCCTGAAAATTTGCCCCGAATTCCTCGATCTGACCTTTTAGCGTCTCAATCGCCGATCGGCCCGATTCATAATTGGAACGGAATTTGCATCCACGAGAGCAATTTTTGCAAAGCGTATTTCCTATCGGTAGAAATTTCGCCCGGTCTTTGGAACTCTCGTCGGCACGACAACGCAAAATGTCACCCATTGACTCAGCTCGCCATGACGGTTCAGTGACAAGCTCCACGGAATGGTAATGATGTAAAATCATGGTTATTTTCAGAATAGGAATATGTTTCCATGCCATTATGCCATGCTCTTCGAAAGGTAAAGCGAAAGATCCCTTCCAGCCAGAAATTCATGGCCAACTGCCATGATGCATCTTGGCTCGCGTCCTCATAGAGAATGGATATCATCGACTCCTCCTACAGCAGGGAACATTCTCCTGGCAACGGGGTCAGCAACGATTCGGGATCCAGGAGATCACTCCAGCCATTGCTTGACTTGGGACGTAGATGAGGGGACTCTTCATGGCGGGCTACACCTTCTGGGAAACGCCACAAGTCATAAGCACTGGCGTGGATGATTACAGTGAGCCGAGTGAGACTCTTTCCGCTCGCCACAGGTCGCCAATGCGCAACTTGTGCTCCCAGAAGACCAGGACGGTCGAGGAGCTCGGTCTACCTTCGACCCTGGCTCCACATTACCGGAAACTTACTAAACTTACCACATTATCCATGAAGTCTTGAATCTTCTACCGAACGAGGGTTAGAGTGTTAGGCATTTTCGAGATATTCTATGGAGATTTGTTTGTGTGCTTTTGAATTTCGCACGACACTTCTAATACAACTCGAGTCATATGCGCAATGACCTGGTTGCTCCTTTGACGGTTTTCACGACAGCTCGGTTTTCCTTGTCCTCGTTCTCCTTGACGAACATGTGTGCGCAAGCGTCTGTCCAACGTGTGCGAGCATTGTGCACTTTTGTGAGGGCAAAACCTAATTCAGCCTAAATCAACGTCCTGTCCAACATTGACATCGCATGTGCCGATCAGCACAACTGCGAGACAGAGCACTTGGCGACCAGAAGAGCCCGTGTACTTTTGGATGGTTCGGTTTGATTCTGACGGATTACCTCCAAAGTCTATCAAACAAACATGTGGCGTCCTTTCCCTCCTGCCAACTGGAATCTTATCAGCGAAGACATTGCTGCTTCCGGGCTGTTGCACTTCCCTCAGTCAGCTGAGCTGTTCCAGAATTGTGTGCGTGCCTTTCGGTGGTGCGCTCGACAGAGGTCAGAGGAAGCAGCGAGGCACTGCGGCTTCAAACATGACTCGAACATCAGATTTCAATGTTTCATCAGATGAGCGGAAAGCAAACCGCGTTCCAAATGTGTATTAAAAGCAAAGATTCACTTACACCTTTGCCTTTTTAAACACCTGGTGAGCGCTTTACGGACAACGTCATGGATATGCTCCGTGAGATCAATGTCTGTTAGTGTCTCTTGTTGTCTAAGCTACTTGGCTCGAGAACAAAGAAGCAACTTGATCTCTGGATGTATTCCTTCCGACTTGCACATATCATTCCCACCAATCCGAAGGCATCAAATTTCCATGTTTCCTTCTTGGGTTTTCAAGTCTCTGTTTCTGGCCGTGCAAAGAGAGAGATCCAGGACGGATTCTACATGGGCTGTCAATCGGTCTGGAGCATAGGAACAGGCTCGACCTCTGACGCTGTCGAAAATTCTGCCGGTGCGGGATGGAAAAGGTGAGAAGTAAGATCCCGTTGGGTTGGAGAATCTCTACTCTACTGGACTCCTATGATCGACTGAAGTCCACGTTCCTGCACAAAGTCTTACGATGCCCTTGATGTAGACTTTTCTTGTAATTTGCACTCTTCGAGGTATCCAGCTGTGTTCAATTCTTTTGCTATATAAGGCGGGCTGCCACAATCTCGATGCAGGCCCTCTCAGCTGCACACACGGTGAAGCAGAAGTCAATCTTATCCCTCGAAGCTGGTGTCCTCGTCTATAGGGCACGAAAGTCAACAGAAAGTGATAACTTTTGTTCGCAGTGTAATCTGCAGCAGAGCGAGTTTCACGGATATTCGAAATCGGCGCTGGATAGGGCTTTGAATAGAATAGGCGACGAGCACACATCATCATCATCATCAATAGACATTTCCTCGAGACCTGTCATCGATCAAACAATTATTCCCTCTCATGGACATCTTCTTCTACCCCGACCAAGCTCAAGGGGTTGAATTTACATCCAGCGGAGAAAGTCTCAGACGATGAGATTTCTACAGTACTTGGACTTGCTCGTAGAGATGTCACGCTTCGTGTATACTACGGGACAAAAGTTGGAAAGTTTAGATACCATTTTGAAATTCAACAGTCAGAGAGATCCTTTCAGCAAATCAGGCGGTGCCAACAGAAAACAAAGAGTGTGTTAAGACCAGTTCAAGGATGAAATGAAATTAGTTACGAGAGCCACCCCCAACAATGAATTTGAAAAGTGTCATAAAACGATTATACTAGTAGAGAGCACTTGAAGAATCATACTCTAATCTTGTTGCTCTAACACGTATGGTATCATTTGCTGTTTTTGTAATATTATAGATTTCAACGTACAAAATTTTTCTTTTTTATTTTAATATCAGATCCAAGAAAATGGTAAACTTGGCTAACAATGGAGTTCACAATTTCTGGATTATAAAATATGTTAATTCAAAGGAAATGATATCTCAGTTAGTTAATACGAGATACTCTTGCGCACGATCCCACGTCATGCATACCGCACTAGCCTTGGCGTGCTGTTTCTGTCCTGAAATAATCTGCACTAAGCAAGGCCCACAACTCCCACCGGTCATCGATCGATGCACTCGAGCTAGGAAAAAAACAAGACGCCGTGAAATAGAACACGGCATTGCTCCTAGTCCATCGTCCAACGTTAGCAAAGTCCAGCTCCGCCCGAGTCGAATATTCTCATGGTGAACACATCACCTGCGTTCCGTTACGCACCGCCACCTAGGCTTGGCCACGGTCCGGACCGCCGGTTAACTGGTTAACCGTCGGGACCGGTTAACCGGTGGGGAAAAAATTTCCTCTGGCAGCAGAATCATACCAGCGAGGTACCCATTTCGTGATTCAGTGTGAAAAAATTCGCTAAATTTTTTTTTCACAAATTGGTAAAACTCAGCTCGAGTCTCTGAACGTCCAACTCATTTGAGTCGCGGCCCACCTCTTTCCCTCCGCCATCGAGAATTTTTGGCGTATTAAGGCCCTCCCCATGTGCCACGTAGGGGTCTGGACAGATGGTTAATCGATTAACCGTATCGGTTACGGTTAATCCAATCCTGGACCGGTTAATATACCGGTTAACCGGTCCAAAAATTTTCCTGACCGGTTAACTGGACAGTGGCCACCCTTCGGCGCATGAGTAGGGTGGGAGGCACAACAAAAATTTTCGAGGCATGCCCATGCCCCCTTTCAGAGTCAAAAGTCATGCCCCCGTATGCCCGTATAAATATACGTACATTGACGTATCAGACATTGAATGTACGTGTAAAGACATCAGTCTTATGGTTAAAACTGTTGAAAAACTCTGGAAGATACGTATGACTTTGTTCGTGTATACGAGCATGCGTTATATGGAAGAATGCGAATTAGGGCATGCCCTTTGAAATTGTGCCTCTAACCGTATTATGACGCTTACAGGTCGAGGAAACGGGACGAGGTCTGAAACTTCATCCATCCGTCCAGCCATCGATGGTCCGTTTGGTCAGACTTCGAACGGAGCTGCTTGCTTCACGAGACCTGAATGCCACTGGTCGTCGTCGCAGCCGGTTCAAGGATCGGACTGGTGGGCAAGGAGGGAGAGACTGGGGCAGGGAGAGAGGCCCAGAGGAAGATCAGATCGATGGACTGATGAGGTGAGCGTCCGTTCGAAATCCCTTTACCTCGTTTCCGTGTTGTTGTGGTTGATTCCTCGCGGTCCCTCACGAACATGATGTGAGGCTAAATGGGGACGATCGGGGCCACCGTCTGGGAGTAGACACAGCCCATGGCATAGAGAATCGGAGACACATTCAGTCTCTGGCTTTCTCGTGTCATGAAGCTCTGGGGATTACGTTACCCCAAGTAGTGGTTGCGTTTAGCGTTTTAAGTGATCTGGTATCACTGGTCAGTTTTTTGAATGTTGTTCGCATTTGTTGGCAAATCTTGAATACATTGAATAAATTCTTCATTGAACAAATATTACACAACTAAAGTATTGTAAGACTGGAATACGAGAAATATGATGAGAAGATAATACAAAAATTTTGAAGATGAAATACATATGGATAGAATGTTTAAAGACTTCTAGAAGTATTTCACCATCATCCATACAATTTCTTGTGTATGTATGATGTGAGTACTAAGAGTATAACTACATAGATTGTGGGCATACCACTTTCAACTGACACATCAAACATTACCATTTCACAAATATGGTGCGTGGCATGAATATAGCTCCAATCCAAAGACCAAAACATCTCGCTGTATACTGTTACTCAAAATTCTTGAATGAATTGTCTACTTCAATAATTCACTAAATGTCACCCTAATTCATTTGAGTATTTCACAAAACTTGCATTTCATCATGCAAAGTTCTCATTATCCTGCCATTTCTCTGTTCATTCTCACTTCAACTTCATATACAATTGAAACTTTATCTCTAAGTAATTTTTTTTAAATTCCATAATTTTGATATGTTTTTGACAAATCAAAATTAACTCTCAAACCATCATTCCATGGATGTAAAATTTGGATTTTGATGTTCGACTTTTTTTTCATATCACATGTTTAGAATATTGACTATTCCATTTCAAATTTCAAAATTATTTATGTGACATCATCAGTAATATATTTTTGTAATATTCACATTTATTTAACTGTAATAAAATAACGTATAACTTTAAAGAATTCGAAATTTTTGTTGATTTATTTTTATATTGAAAATTTTTCAAATTTTTTTTAAAATCTTCATTCATAATATTTCATTTTTTTAGTTAACGTTTCATTTTTTAGACATGTTTTTATAAAATAATTTTTTTTTAACATTCATTTGATCTCATGTCACATTAAATTTTGATTTTGATATACATATTTATCGTTAGAATACATTAAAAATTAATTTTAATGAAATAAAATAAAATAAAAATTCATCCCATTTTCTTTAATCAAAAGAATAATTCATCATCATCTATAGATTCAAATTTTAATTTAAAAAATTATGTGGTATTTTCATATATGATTTTGAGGTTTTCAATAGAAAAATTAGAAAAAAATTCAGTGAATATTGAATAAATTAACATCATGCAATTGATCAAAACATTAATTTCATATAAATTTCTTTAAATTTTATACATGAAGCTTTTTTTTCAGTAATTCTCATTTGGATGTTATTTTGATGCATTAAATTCAATACAAAAATGTCATAAGTATGATATTGCAATTCATATTACAAAGCTAATTCAACGATTGATTTTTTTGCTATCAATTTTTTTTTGGTCAAAAACATTGATACAAAGTATAAAATTTAGCAAGTAGATAAGCATTTTTCAATTGAAAGTCTTATCTGAAAAATTAATGTACACTCTTTTGATGTTGAATATTTGCAATCATTAAACATAATGAAATGAATGTATGTATAGAAACAAATTAAAAAACAAGATATATCAAAATAAATTAAAAAAAGGCTTGAATTATAAATTTGAATTTATTTGAGGACATCGCTGTGAGTACAAAATGTGAAATTCAGTTCATGAAAAATCTATTTTGCATAAGCAGCCAAAAACACAAGCTAACCAATATAATTGATAGTCTTTGTTGGAATAAATAAATAAATAAATTACTTTGATTAATTTTTAGGTTAATTTTTTTTCTAATGTTATTTTAATGGATGTCTCCCAAACGTAAAACCAAAGGTCACTCAAGCCAAGCACAAACACATGAGAAACTCATATAATGTGGTTCACCCTCGGGGCTACGTCCATGATTGAAGCGCACGAGAAGATTTATTGACAACTCAATACTCTCATCGAGAAGAAAACTTGGAGTTATATTTAAACCCAAAGCCAACAACACACCTAGCTATAAATAGCTATAACCTGTGGTTATTCCTTAACCGGAGTTAAACTCAACAATCTTCCACTTAACTCGTGTTAGAGATTCATTAATCTTTGTAACTTATATTATTACTCAGCGTGAAGTTCTAGACAGAAACCTAACACAAGTCATTTTTTACACGAGAGTTAACTAGAAGTAGACCGTAGCCATAACATGATAGAGTAATAACATAAGGAGGTAAATAGAAAACCTGCTTGCATAGAAATATCAAAGATTTTTTAATTTATATAATTACTCCGCGGGAAGTTCTAGACAAGAATTTAATACAAGCTTACTCTTTACACAAGAGTTAATTAGAGCTAAACCACAGCCATCACAAGATTGAGTAAATATATAAAGAGATAACTAAAGTTACTATGCTAGCAACTTCTGCATGTGCTCTCCGTGCACACCCTGCATGGTAGCACAGTGTCGTCTTAAACTCTCCAAAGAAATAACTTCGGTCAAAGCATTAGCTAGATTAAGTTTACCGTTGATATTGACTAGTTCAATCGTTTTATCAAACACTTCTTGTGTGATAAAATTATACCTGATGTTGATGTGCTTCACTATGTTATCAATGACTTGGTTCACAGCTAAATGTAAAGCACTCTGGCTATCATTATGAAGATTAACCACGTACTGCGAAGCTGGACGTGGTCCCATTTCCATGATAAGCCTATCCAACCAAATGGCTTCCTTTGCCGCTTTTGCTGCAATCACATATTCAACTTCCGTTGTTGACTGAGCTACGCATTTCTGCAAGGTAGACCTCCAACTAATGCTTCCACCGCCAAGTGTAAACATATACCCAATTATAGATCTCATTTTATCTAGATTCTGTCCGTAGTCAACATCAACGTAGCCAAACAAGGATTTGGCATTGTCTAATAGACCATCAAACAATAAGCCATAATCCAAAGTACTCTTCAAATATTTCATAATCCATTTCACTCCTTCCCAATGAACTTTCCCTGGATTTGACATGTACATGCTCACCTTGCCCATCACAAAAGCAATGTCCGGCCTAGTGCACACCATCAAATACATGATGCTGCATACGGCTTGTTCTTAAGGAACACATGACATTCTTTCTTTCTCCACAGCATCGATAGGACATTGAACTACAGAGAGTTTGAAATGTGATGCCAAAAAAGTCCATACTCCTTTGGAATCGACGATGTTAAACTTGTCAAGTATACGACGAACATACTTGCCTTAATTCAACCATAACCTCTTTTGTTCATGATACTTATGAATCTTCATGCATAATATTCTCTTCAACTCCCCCATATCCTTCATCTTAAATGCAGACTTCAACTTACTCTTGCATTTATCAACATCAAATTGATTTTTCGCCAGGATGGGCATGTTATCAATGTAGAGTAC